GCCATAAAAGCATTTCAGGACAGTCGCCAAGACGCACATATTCTAAAGTGGTTATGATGCACGAGGCTGTTAAAAGGCCGCGCTTCCTTCAGCTGCACGTCTACGCGAGCAATAAGCAAACAAACCTGAGACAGGGATGATTACTAAGCACAAATGCATCATGGGAGTGTCTCGTATCCCGCGGGATTAGAACCATTGTAGTAGAAGCCGAGCAGAAAATGCTGCAGGATCCTTTTTGTCAGCAGGCACGTTTTCAGCTTGGAGGTGCAAAGCAGGACGTATTTTTACCAGCGGCATTCAAAACCAGCGAAGACACGGTTCATTTTCATATAAATATTTATTGCAGAGGAGGTATCTTTTATGTACATGCTATCACAATATAACACAATATAAATCTACCAAATATTCCCATATATTGATGCTATAAGCTTGTCATAGAGCAATAGTTATAACAAGCACATAATACAGTGGGTTAGGGACAGTATCACTCACTATACAACTTGTAACAGTCCATAAAAGATCAATTTTTTTTCTTTTTTGTTCTATCAAGGGCAGTGAAACATCGGTCCTACTAATTTCTTGAATTCATGCAGAAGCCACAAGAGCAAGATTTACGACGTTACAGCATTGAATAGTAGTAGTAGCAATAGTAGTAGTTTGTGTTTGCCATCGTGTGACCCGGTTTGGTCACAAGAGAATAGAAGTCAGGTTTAAATGAAAGCAGCTAGCCAACAGAACGCACCATGGTAAAGACCCGGATTTGGTGGATGAAAAAAAGCTACAGGACACGGTATCGTCTATGTCAAGATGGTACAAGAACGATGGTCTCGATTTTTGCACACCCAAGTAAACGGCTGAGGTTGGAACTTCCACCGACTGATGGATGAGAAGGATAAATTACAGTGATAATCTCCAGAGAAACAGACAGGAACAGACGCCGGTTATGTATTACACAATCTGATACACAGACGAGCTATGGGCTGGCTGAACTGAGGAATCCTACGGCAAGCGCAACACCTGAATTCACGCAAATTAAAGTCGATTCACTGTTACGCAAAGAACACACTCGTTAGTTTGAAGGGTATTGCGCCGATCGCAACAAGTCAGGAGTGTGTTTAAGGTTTAAAATCAACATAAATGAATGAAAATATGTTTTGAAACTAGGAAAAAAAACACCTTCTTTGCTTGAAAATGTCATAAAATATTGCTTGTTTTGGTTTTTTCTTTGAACAAATGGATTGAATTTGAACCGAAATAATTATCATGAACAGACACAGCTTGTCGTTTAAAATAGCTTTCCTACAAGGACAATAAAGAGGCAGCATGTTATATATCATCCAGGGCAGTAAAATCAGATAGTGACTCTAAAGTCAGTTTGAAAAAAAAGAAAGAATAGAAAAGGGGGGTTTTTGAAATGTCGCTGCTGTCATTAGAAGGGTTCAGGATTCCCCCCTCTCCGTATAATGGGATCCTGCATTCGCTACCACAATGCAGATGATGGATGACGCCTAACATCTGGTTCATAAATATCATATAGATCCATCAAAGCATTACAATCAATCTGCGCGCGGTGTTCTCGGAGGAGCTCATAAAGCAGAGGTGTCGACAAATCTCACACCGTAAAGGCAAACACTCCACGTCTGAAGGATTTCAGAGGACAGGTCGGCGGCGGCGGCGGAGGTAATTTCTCAGGAATATAAGATGTTTATAGAGATTAGGAGCCGTGCTGAACAAAATCTGACACAAATATTTGCCGCTGGATTTGTTTTCAGTGGAGCTGTGCCAAAAGAAATTTAGCAGTTGTGTTTAATCAAGATCTCACTGACAAGCACTGTGTGTGTGTTTTTTTTTTGTTAGTATTTTTTTTTAAATCACAATCAGTAAAGACCCCTACAGAGCTCGGATAGTTTGTCATGAGGACTTCGACAGCGAATACAGATAGTTACAATCAGTGACGACATTCAGGAATTCTCACAAGATACCATAAAGCACTGCAGATGCTATACTGATACATAGTTTTCCTCACATGACTGCAAATATTGTTCAGGTGTTCAACAATAGTTACTATTTTAAATATAAGTGGGAGATTTTTTTTGTTTTTCTCTTTAATGCCAGGATGGATAATGCATGTTGAATATTTAGATGGAAAACACGGAAGATCTTCAATAAAATTTAATCTGATGAATTGAATTTAGAACCACAGCCTAATTCTGAAATGAGTTGTTTGATTAGTCAACTGGGCTTCGGCCTACTTTGCATTAAACTGAGACGAACTCTTAATGCAGAGACGTAAAGAAAAAGTGATGGCAGCAACGCAGTGTTTAACCTTTAACATTTCAAAAGGTTGTATAATAAAGAGTGATGTTATTTCGATATATTAAATGATAGCTCTGGTTAATTAAAAACTGGGGTTTTATTTTTTGCCCAATTTGGCTGCTGTTTCTATCACCAATGGAACTGCTGTGATCTAGAAATAAGGCTGTAAACGAGGCAATTGTTCAATCACTTGATGTTTCTCTCAATTGGAGAAGACTTGAACGAGATTTTTTTTAGATGTGATTAATTAACATTTACACTAACCATGAGGTGCTAACAGTTAACTCTACAATGGACCACTACTTCACATTACTTTTGGATGTACAGACACTCAATACTTTTGTCTGTCTTCAAACCTCGTTTCTCATGCAAGGAATCCAATATGAATAAGAGGATCTGCTTGCATACACAGGTTTCTGAGGAGGAAAGTTGTGCAGCGTAATATTAATGTTGGCTAGCTTCTACACCTGATGCATACCACACCTGAGTATGTTTCTGGGATGTGGAAGCACCCTAAAGCTTGCTTTATACTCCTGCGTTGAATCTACGTAGAGCTGGTGCTTTATCCTACACCAGTGGCCTGTCAGCATGTTTAATTGTGCTCTGGCGTGTCTACAAGCTGTGCAATTACACTAAAACGCTAGTTAGGGGTTGGGTTTGTACGCCACTGAGATATACTTCAAACAGTGGCGGCTGAAACAGAGAGCGTAGAGAAGACGGATTACACACAGTATTACGTATTAAATGTTTTCATCGATATACCTTGAAGACACGGCATATTACCACCAGGCGGACCAATCATCATGTGTTCTGCATCGCCACGACATGTAGCTACATTTTTGGGGGGTTGCGTGTCAAAGCTGTGGCACAGATTTAATGCACAAGTATAGATCAAGCTTAACAAAGTCAGCTTCTTCTGCAAAGAGCCAGCAAAATAGCTACATCCATTAAAAAAATGCCAGAATAATGGGTAGTTAAATGGCTGACAGACACAACAACTCCTAAAGTAGAGAAGTTCTTGGATGCCGGTTGGACAAACATAAGGTTCTTCCCCAACAGATACTGTGTCAAGTTGAGTAAATTAAATTAAATTAAATTACAGCTCAGCCTAAAGATCAGGCTATGATAACACACAATTGCACAGAATGCACAGCGATGGGAAGATGCTTTTGAACTGTGATTAATGTTTAGAAAAGACAGATTGGGTACGATTTGCTTCTAAATAATTTAAGCTAACCTGGAAGTTTTTTTTCAAAGACGTCCAAAACCTATGAAATAAAACCCACGTTGTAATTAACCAGACATCTTTAATTAGTTATTGTTAAATAGAGTTGTTAACCTGCTTGACTTTTTTGTTGTTTTTTGCATTTATTGAGGCAGTGGGACTGTAAACAAGAAGGCAGGACTTAATCGTATGTACATATTCAGGTTACTGCATCACATTTTTCTTTAAAATTGATGATATTGTGTCCACAGACACACACGTACACACACATGCTGGATTCATAAAGAAAGCTGGTGCAAATTATTTCCCTCTGTAGTTTCCCATCCCTTCTTCTTTTTTCTTTCTTTTACATACGTGAACAACACGAGCCATTTAGACACGCATTCATGTTGATGCTGCTCTCATGTAATCTTCACCATCCCTTAAGCTTTTGGAAATATGAAAGCAGGAACGTGTCTCTGGTATTCAAAAACGAAAACAACATTATATATCTGTCAACACGTTAACTGCTTTAGTTGACAAACCGGCAGGGTACTCTCGATACCTGGCTGTGCATGCTGTTTATATAATTTCACCGTCACAAAATGCTGAAGGAGGAAGCCACTCGCTTCCCTTCAGACTGATACAAGACAATGCTAGTTAGTTAGGCACATACAGTACATCTCTGCAGACTTGGAAGCATTTTAATCTGCAGAGAACTACAATTAAATAGATCTAAACAAAGAACATGTCTGAGTTTGGTCAGTGTGTGATATCCGGTGTGATATCATGCCATGAGGTTGAAAAGAAGAGGACAAAATGTACAAGAAGGACAGAGTTCTTCTTGTACATTTTTGTCCTCACTTGTTAATTTATGGAGTTGGCTAAAGTGCTATAGACTGATTTTCTTCTCTCTCTGTGCCAAAGACACAAACTAATAAATTAACTTTACAGCCTCAAGACCAACATCCTTCTTTGCAAATGTTCCCTTATTCTTTGGCTTTCACTTTTGCTGTTTTGTTCTTCACATTAATTCCAGCCTTCGTCTTCATACACAATATTTTTCTCGACATCTCTACTCTCATGTCGTATCCTGGTCCAAGAACAGATGAAGCAAAACAAAATGCAAGAGCTGTTGACATAATGAACGCAAATGTTCAGCGCTGATAATGAAGTGAAAAGGCTGAATCAAAGGTTGCATAAGTAGACAACGATTTATCTTCAGGATTTTCCTGTAATAATCTGGAATGCTCATCATGACTTTGTTTAGGTTTTTTTTTTTTTTTTTGTGTACATTTTACTTATTTCCAAAATAGGTAAAACAGGAACAAAACCTCGGAAAGGAAGGCAACTTGTGGAACTTGATCAACTTTGCTTCCAAGTCACCGTACTAATAGTAAAAGGTAATATTTAACGATTTCAAAGTGAAAAAAAGTATACATCAATAACTATCATTTCAGTGGTCCATTAAGGTTGGGTGTCATGCCTTCTTGCTCGATGTGCTATCCTCAAAGTCCCAGGGACAAACATCTGCCTTTTTTGCAGCACTGGCAGCCCCACCTTTAGAATTTGGGTTGCTCTGTTTCACTGCAGGAGCACTTTTGTCTGTACCTTTTTTATCTGACGTATCCTCATAATCCCACGGACACACTTCAGCCTGCTTTGCTTTGGCTGCTCCAACATTAGCGCTTTTCCTTTTTTCTACCAGCGGCACCTCCTGATGACTCTCCACATCCCACGGGCAAACCTCAGCCATTTTTTGTTGGCTCACTGGTTTCTCTGAAGATTTACTCTTGTCCTTAGCTTTTGTTCTACTTTTCTCATCGTCAGTGTCTTTTGATATCTCTTTCTCAACTGTTCTTGAGGCAGGGGTGCCTTTCTTTTTTGAAGGGGATTCCTTGGTTTTGGATGCTTGTGAGGGACTCGGCGTCCTCTCAGAAGTTGGGGACACTGCAGTGCTGTCGAAGTCCCAGGGACACACGTCAGCTTTTGATGATGGTGGCTGGAGCGATGTTCCCACTTTGGGTGGATCTGAAAGGGTGCTTCTCCCTCTCGCTTCCACTGGAGAGGTGCCCTTTTTCTGCTTTGTCATATCAGCTGGGCGAGCTAACTCTGTTGTCTTTTGCGGCTCTTCAAAGTCCCATGGACAGACGTCAGCCCGATGTGTTTTGGAGCTTTCCACTGCAGAATGACCTTGCTGGGCCTTCGACTGACTGGATATCGGCTGCTTTGACCCTTCCACTTGACTGGCTTGACTGTCACCTCCCTCCTCCCATGGACATACCTCTGCTCGTACAGCCGTCGTCCTCTGAATCTCCTTGGAGTGCCTGCTACCCGATGGAGATTGATCTGAAGCTTTCTGCTTCTGTTGCTGAGATTTGCCTCCTTTGGTGCTACCTCCGTGAACTGTTGTGGTTTCCTTTGGCGCTATAGATACATGCTTTTGGACCTTGTTTTCAGACGGAGTCGGGAGATCTTCTACTTCCCAGGGACACACTTCTGAGAGATCATAGAGGTCCTTTCCCTTGATTGGATCGGAGCAGATTGTAGGCTGGCTGCCACTCACCGGCTGTTTCATGATCCTGCCTTTTGTGGTGCTTTGTTTGTACTCAACCGACTGGCTGATGATCATCTTCGGTTGACAGTCATTCTCTGGCTCTGCATTTGCCCTTGTGTCTTTGCTCTTTGGCTGACTCTTCTTATTGCTGTCTTCCGTGCTCTGGGTCTTTCCAGTCAAGCCCAAAGTCTTCTCTTTGGCACTGGCAATGACACTGAGGGACTTCTGTAGCATGGAGGCTCTGGGATGAATTGGTTTCTTGTCTGCAGTGAGGTTATGGGCACTGGCTGACTTACAAACCAAAGGGACCGATTCTGTAGATTCACTAGGGACGCTTATATTCTCACTGGACTTCTTCTTGACCAGCTTCTTGCCCATTAGTGTATCCAGGAGAGACCCTTCAGCTGGCATCACCTCCATCTTGTCTGTCAGCGAGCTGTTGGAGTCTTCACTCTGGTCTCGGACGTGGTCGTAGCTACTGTGGGACTTCTTCAGGGAGAAAACCTTGTTCTTCAGTGTCTCTTCCTTTGCTGGTTTGCTAGTATGGGTCTGTTCTAAGGGGTTCTTCTTCAACATGCAGATGCTGTTACGATTGCTGCCGTGTTCTCCTGCCTCCTTGTCTTCTCGGCTGCACTGCCGATGCACGGATTCGGGAATCTCTGTGATGCGCCTCATCAGGGAGCGACCCAGTCCTTTCTTAGAGCTACGCTTTTTCTGCAGATGTGGGTTGTTTGCCAGCATCTTCTTCCTTTTGTAAATCTCCAACTGGGAGTACAGTTTCTTCAGCTCTTCCTACACATTAATGAAAAGACAAAGTGATGAGTCGCTTGTTAATAACAGTAGCTTGAAAAGAAAAGGCTGTGTGATCCAAACACTACTACAAAAAAGCAGACATTCTACTGCACAGATAACATGCAGTACAACTTCATGGCACGTGACTACAAACAGTGGTTAAAAGATGCACTACGGTATATCACATGCGTGCTGAAAAGAAAGCAAAGACAGGACAGTCTTGGACAGCATAAGTGTTAGGTCTGAAACAGCCTCTAAGCTCAGGTCCTGAATTAGTTGTATTTCCATCTGTATCTCCATCCGAGACAATGAATGCGCCACCAAAATACCACTTCCTCCAGATAATAGGCTTAAGGTACCCAAATCTTTTGGTAGAGAGACTTCTTCAGCTCTAACAGACAAACAGAAATCTCGGCTCACGTTGGTACGTTTTTCCCAAAGACTGTCGCAAGACCTTACGCCACAGCCATTAATTGAACTGAGATGGCCCATTTCCTCTGGTGTCTGCAATAAAAAACTGCCGTTGCTCAGTATTTTTTGGGGAAAGGCATCACCAGGTCATACAATGGAAAAGGAATGGTACGTGGAAAGACGGCTCACCCGAATGTCCTCAGGGTCCAGGCTGTGTTCGCTCCACGCCGATGTGATGCTGCTGTTGAGGTACGACCCAGAGCGACCCATGTCCAGCTCGTCCTCGTACGCCTCGGAGGCTATATCGTCTCTCATGTGGGTGCCAGCGAACAAGAACTGATGAAAGGATCGTGAAACTGGTCAAAAGCGGCCCTTTTAGAAAATTAATGAGCATCAAAGGTGAAGCTTATTTAAATCTGACAATACAACGTGCTGTCTCCCAGTGGTATTTTACAGCTTAGTCAACATGTCAGCTTGTTTCTTTCATGCTTTCGGACGGCTCCCCTCTGGTTCCTACTTAAGATCTTTACAAACAAGTCACAAATATACACAGTGGCTTGGATGTGTGAAAAGAAATATCCTTTTTTTAAAGTACTGTAGATGTAACTAGGATTATAAAAAGGAAGCAAGTTGTGCATTTGATAGGGAGTACGTTCAGCTCATTTGGTGCACCGTGTATATTGACAGAGAGCAGCATTTCTAAAATTTGTTTCTATAGATTACATTAAAGATTTGAATGAAAATTAACAATTCGTGATAAAGATACACTACAAAAAGTGTATTTGAGTTATAGTCGAAGTAAATTTTGTTTCTAATAAATCTTCTTTATCTTTCTGCTTTGGTGATAGAAAATATGTTTTGTGGATTCTGTTATCTTGAAATTACACTTTGTTTCCTTAACCCTATTCAGGACTTTCATGTTAACATACGTAGAAGGTCTTTCAGGGTCCAGTGGACCCCAAGAAAGTATACATGCAAAATATTTGTTGGTATTCATTATACACTTTTATACCATGTTAAATAAATTTTTGGTTCCAAATGCATGACAAAATGCCCCTATTTGTCATGTATTATATTTAAAAAAATAAATCTTCAAAAATAAAAAAACAATACCTTTCACCTAAATCAAATGGCCTGGGGTCCAAAAGACCCCAAAAGCCCTGAACAGGGTTAAACTAGTGTTCTAATTTTGGCAACAGTGCAACAATTAGATCTACTGCTGCTTTAACATTATCAATTTAAGAAATATATCTGTCTAGCATAAACTGGTGGCATTATTATTACTCGTTAACTTAATTTCGATACCCTTAATTTAATTATAATTACCGGTTGAGGCAGTTTATTGATGTTGGTCCAACCATTGTTATTTATCAGTGCACGACAACGTTGTTCTGCGTTGCTTAATTGCAGAACAAGAAGATGATAAATGATCATTTTCTTGCACGTAAAGCAACATGAATTGTGGCGTTTACCTTGGGAATGAGCAGCAGACCCAACGTAACTGTTACAGTCAGGTGAGTGTGGGTGAAGAACAGTAACAGCATCCAGTCTGGATGAAGCTCAGGGGCGAGAGTGAACCTGCGAAGATGAAAGAGACAAAGAGAAAAGAAGAAACTGAATCCACAGAGAACAAAGACACAAGCAGATGTTTAGCCTTATGAAGCTGCTCAACCTCATCATACATACCGAGAAATGCCATCGTATTTCGCACACATCTTTCTGAGGAATAATTGCGAAATTCAAAATGCACACTGCAGTGAGGTATTACCAAACGATGTTGTGATACACACTGTTCTGTCTGCAGAAAACCTCTTAGATACTGATGGAGCCTGGAGAGATGAAGGCCAGCAGCCAAAGTAGATTTATCCACTGTCTGTCTCGTCGTCAATTCCACTGCCTCATATAATGTTCCACTTGGGTGATCCTTTTGCCAGCAAGGACGCAATATTTTCCTCATTCTTTCGACTGGATTCACAATAAAAGGCGAGTGACCTTGATCTGGTCGCAAGATTCGGTCTATTTATACATCAGACGGTAATACGCTGGGCTGGCTGTGGCGCAGCAGTTGGTGGAAAATGAGATAATTACTGGCAGAAACAATAGTGGCGCGAGGAGTAGCACCAGCCTTTTATTTAAAATGAACTAACAGGCTTTCAGCACAGTGAGACCTCGTGCGCACTAAGGATATGAAGGCATGTCCTGTCAGATGCTAATTCAACCACCGGAGAGCCTCTATGCAAGCAAATGTCATCTAGCAGGCTCATTACGTTGTTGAAGTTGGCAAATGGCTAATTAACGAACAGTTACTGTGGTAATAGCTCAGAGGCATGAATGAAGGCAAAGGTCCAGCATATGAAATGTCCCAAAGCTTTGAAGTCTTCCCTCCTTCATGTTTTGTGAGGAGTTTCTGTGCAGATGAGGATTTAATAACCCTGGCATGCTGTCTCCTCTCAGCCTGCAGCGTCGCACTGAAACACTCCCCATCACTCACGACTAGAAGACTCCCAGCTATTCCATTCCCTTCATTTTCTCCCAGCGTCCCATTCACACCTGGACCCGACCAAAGCCTGATGACTATCTCGGGCCGACGCGGAAGTCTGAGCTTTAACTGGTCACTGTGGGATCAAATAGCGGGTTCTGAAAGTAACACAAATAGACGCTGGATGCCTCTAACAAGCCCCAATGTACACTGTGGCCCCAGGTGGCAGCCAGTCAGAATCAACTCGCCGCGCCAGGCAACTGTCCAATTTATTAGGGGTCTCGTCTGGCCATTTTCTGCAGAGAAAAGCCTCACAACAAGGCTTAAGAGGCCCATTTAAAGAGTTGGCAGCGCAATCACAAGGAGCCAGATGTTCAAAAAAATCCATCAAGTCGGCTAAAAAGTCAGAATTTCTTCCAAGAAACTACAGATGATACAAAATTTATCTGTAATGGGTGTTAATTTATAACTAGAATATGGCTGCCAATAATTCTAGCTATTTATGCTGTCTTGAAAAAAAAAACATAAATCATTCTGACATGGTTCATTAGGAAATAATGAGATGGAGCTGAGCTCTCAATTAGGGGGACTCCAGCTAGGAATGGCTGTGGCGGTGTCAGCTGAAACGTCTCATTTATAAAGTGCACGCTGCAGCTATTTGACATGTAGACTAGAGGGAGAGGGCCGACTTCACTACAATAAAGGACGACTCCCAGATGAACTGAGGGGTTTGAGCTCCACGCTTTAGCCTACATGTGATGGAAATGAGACAATCTACAGGAGGACATAAAATGACAGCAGCCAGAGCCGTCACGGATTGATGGTAAATATGCAGCTGGCAAAGGTGGGACGCTTTTTCGAATGCGAGCGACAACATCTGTAGGTTGAACACGATGTATTCGTTGGGAATTATGTTTGATTTCGCTCCAAACGGATAGAGCTGCACCGTTCAGATTTCATTCCCTGTGACTGTCAAAGCTTAAGGGCTCAGGTCAGACAAACAGTGGCATCTAGCTATACAGATTTGTTTTCATTGCTACAGAGGTCTTGAAACATCTGTCTCTGAGATTTCCGCCTCCATCCGAATACAATGGAGGTCAATGGAATTTAATTTATGCTGCGCACGACATCGAAAGATTATGAACTGTTTGTGGATTATCCTGAGTGAGGACACGTTGCGGTTTGTGTTTTTTGGTGAACATTCACGTCAAAATTATAATAAAAAGTATATTAGCCAAACAGTGTACTGCAGAAATTGAGTTTTGAGTCACAAAGCCAAGACCGACTTACACAAACAGTACATGTTGAGATGCGTATTTGTTGGTGCTTAAGCCAGAGCATGACATTAGTAACTAGGTTAGTGCCGGTAAGGATGGATTTCCCATACCATCAATTATTAAGCACCAAATATTCTGACATTTCTCACGCTGACTCTTGAAAAGTTGAATTCAGAACACTGAAGAGTATGTTGACCAGTGCTCATCTTCTCATTTAACTTTCTAACTTATGCTAATGTCACAATATGTTTAAGAAAATGTTTCTTTGCTTTGTAGTTAGAGCGCACATACAGCAAAATGGTAATTTTTGACCCGCATGCTTGTAGAATCCATACGTGCTGTTTTCCCTGCAGGAGTCCAAAGAACAAACAGCATCAAAGCTTTTGGTCATTTTTCAGAACGGGGATGAGTGTTAAAGGGTTCGGAGCTGCACGCTTGTGTTTTAAGTGAGCGATTTAAAGGCAATCTCTGTTTTCGCACCTTTGCTGAGCCACTGTATTAAACCAAGAGGGTATCCAGGCTTCCACCTAATGAGGATTGAGAGCTACTATACCAGTGAAGGACATCTGGCTTAAAAACTATGTTTGAGAATAAAGAAAGAAGCACCAAGAACCTGTCTAGTGCAGCTGACATCAGTACTGGGGTAAGTTTTGGAGACATTTTGAGGTAACTTTAGAAAATAGGCACAAGAAACAAAATGACTTTGACCTCCAGAAATCTCAGCGATAATAAAGTTGAAACCAGAAGTTTACGCACACTGTATAAAAAGACATAAAACCTTTGTTTTTTTCTCATGGTTTGTCATCAAATTAGACTAAACTTTTCCTGTTTCAGGTCAGTTAGGATTACCAAAATTATTTCTATTTGCTAAATGCCAGAATAATGAGAGAGAGAATTTTTTTTTATTGCTTTCTTCAAAGTCAAAAGATGATGTCATGGCTTTTTAAAATTAACCAAATCTAAGCAAAAATTATGATATTTAATCAAAATCACTTTTCTATATGTCTCATTTAAAATTTGACAAAAATCGATTGAACCAGATTCTGTAAAAAAAAACTAAAACGTCTGCATTCCTTGACACAAATGTGAAGCTCGGAGCTACAACCAAAGGTCACAAATGCTTGGACTAGTCGGTTGAACTGCAGGCAGTGTGTACAGAGAGGAGAGACAAATCAAAGCTGTATGTTATATGTAGATCCACGATTGTTTTTACCGGTATTGTTAACACCAGGGGGCACTTGAAAAAATGTTGCACCTGGTCATTCCAGTGAGTTCCCACTCTTGTACAATAAATATATACGTATTTTTAGGATTTCTGGCATTATAACTTTAGTTCTCTCTACTTCTGGTCATGGTTGTGCTGTTTTCACACGTGTGGGACTTTATAATGCAGTGAAAACGAGTAAAAATGTAACATGAGCAAAAAAACGAAATACCCAGAATCTGCTCGGGATAGAGAGGGTTCATCATATCAAGTTTTTTTTACCCACTAAGAAGGCCAACTGAAAGGAAGCAGGAGGTGTTACCTGATGACGTAGAATATGGCCGACAGAACGAGCTCGTTGTGAACAGCGATGGCCATGTAGCGAGGCTCGTGGAAGGCCGACGGCACCGTCCTCACGGCGTAACACAGGTACACTGCCCACAGCAGGAACAGGAACTCAGCTGTGGGACGAGAATTAAGCAGAAACACAGTGATCACACAGGCCAAGATGTCACTTCTATGCAATACGCAGGTTTGAAAGGCCAAAAAAATACAACGGACACGTGCACCCACCAACCGGCCTCTTCACAGTTCACTGCACTCGTGGAGCTGCTTCAAATGGCTGTACAACACAGGTGCATGGGAAAAGGCCCTCCTCAACAAACTCATTTGTAACAGCTGTGGTTGTATTCTCGGGACAATAGATGAATCCCCGTGCACCTCGGTGGCAGCCTCGTGTAATGTTTCCTTGGTATCCAGCTCGGCAGCAGTAAACACACCTGGTGCCGCCTGCTCGAACCGTGAATCCCGTGTTCTTCACACCGGGAACAAGTGCAGACTCACTGATTGCTGCAAATGTCTTGACCTCTATTAGGCTGATTCTATAATTAGGTCCTTGTGTTTTTGTTAAGGGAAACCATTTGGTTGACAGGGCTGTGGGAACATTTTAAATTAGCTTGTGTTCTGTGTCTTGGAAAAAAAAAAGAACAGGAAGGCAGAAGGGAAAATCCTTTTTTAAAAATAGTTTGGAGCTGATTCACAGAACATTTCTAAACGATTTATCAACCAACAATGAAGAAAAGATGCAGCATTGGCGTGATTTTTTTTTAGAAAACACGCAAAACCGAAGGTCCAACAGTTCGGGTGGGTCAGCAAGAACATCACAGAAATATGATTAAACGTAACGTGCTATATTCTGAATTAAATTAGCACACGATAGCGCCGCTGAAAGTGCAGTTTTGCAGTGCACGCTCAACAATTAATCTTTATTCGTCTGGAGTTTTCTTTATTGGAAGGAGAAAATACACAAAACAAAGCAGAATGCATCATAATTAGACGTCTGACTGCGAGCGAATGCAGGTGTGGATTTGTAAATCTGAGAGATTTATTGCCTCTCCGTGTGCGTAAATTATGACCCGTATCCAGGTGGCGTCAGACCCCCGCATCCTTATTGCCGACCTATTTTTACCTCCTATTAAACGGAATGAGAATTCGTCCTCGGTATACAGTCTCACAGCATGTGGTTTCTGCTGGGGGTCCGTCTGTTTTCCCAGAAGTCAAAAAAGGGCCGCGGTTCTCTTATACGAAGCCTGAGTCAGCAGACAGAAACACAGCATGCAGATTTGCTCAATGTGAGACGCTGCTCCCCTCTGAGCAGCTTTCTGATTCCTCATCTGTCTTCATCTGCTGCCGGTTGCCCTCTACTCCGCAAACAACACGGGAAAACAGTGAAAAGTGTTGCACCAGCGGAGAGGATTGATGTCTTCTTTTGGGAAACATAACATTGTCGGATGCACGTGGAGGCAAACCGTCTTAGTCATCCAGCTTCGTCTCATCGCTCACTCCTCCCTCATGTGTTATTCTCTTTCATCCCCCAGTGACATCATGCCTGACAAATTACATCCAGATTTTATGCAACGAATCCCTGAAATTACCCATGATTTCTCACTACAGTGGGCGCAAACTGTGTTTAAATCTATTTGCGGCGCCCTGTGGAGGCAGAGGGCAGTGGCAGGGCTTACCGACAGCCATCATGTAGTCCCAGCGATCCAGCAGGCACATGCTGAACTGCAGCGCGTCGGGGGTGTAGCCCACGTCGATTAGAGCCGACTTCCGGTCCGGGTTCTGACAGACGGCAGATGTCCAAGCCACCAGGAACCAGCACACGATGAGCAGGATGATGCCCAGCAGACGCAACACTCGCCAGCTGGTCATGTAGGGGATCCTCTGGGCCGTACGGGACAGGAACACCTTCAGCACCCTGTGGACGGAAAACCACACAATTGTCCTTAAGCTGGTATAACTTTCAAAGGCGAAGACGGCATCCACGAGAGGGAAACGTCAACCCCTGCTAAAGATCACTGATTTAATTTTTTAGTGTTTCCCTCAGCTTGCCTTGAGGGTGTTTGTCTTTCGAGTTCTCATATTTTCCAGAAGTTCCTTTAGACCCTTTAGCACAAATCTGCTGTCGATCTCTTTAGGTAGCCAAGCAGGAACTCAGCACTACTTGTGGCTGCCACACAAAGCTGCTATCTTTGACATTTTTTTGGTCATTTTTTGGTTGAACAACAATGAAAAACAAGGATGCAGACTTCTCCTTTAATTGTAGGTATGACATAAACACTTTGAGACTGTCCTTATCAGAAACAAACATTGGGCATTTGTTCAGACCCTTAGAAAGACTTATATTTATCTTTTTCTGAACTGTTGTGGCTGGTAAAATAATAACCTGCATTTCTCAGAGGCAGAGGGGGACACTACGTTTCTAATTGTCCTTAGTGCTTCAAAATTTCTCATGGAGTTAATTTATTTTCTTTTCTTTTTTAACTAAGTGATCAATCATCTATTTTGTATCATGCCAGAAACATGTTATCATCCCACAGGGCAATAGCAAAACCAGAAAACACACCGTTAAGAAGTTGACTTTCTGTTTAGAATTTGTTTATTATTCCATTATATTACTTTGTGTTGATTAACTAATCATTTGCATGACTAATCAGTGCAGCGCTACACCAGAGCCTGCTGTTGCATCCCATTCCCTATTCCCTTTCAACCACAGGCACATCTGTCTCTCACTAAGGATGCACCGAGTCAACTTTCTCTCTCTGTGTAATACCTCTCCTTTGGCTGTCTGTTGACACCAATATAATACCACTTTTAATCTAAATACATCATTTCTAAAAAGCACTTGATGCATTCAAGGATTGCTTTTTATAGTTTTTGACAAAGATGATCAGATGGAGGTAAATTATTTGCCATTTGCCCAAAAAGTTTTTTCATGAAAAGCTGTTACTGGAAAAAAGGCTTCATGGAAACACTACATTTAGTGACGTGACCGCAAAAAAAATCATACTAATATGATTTAGTAACATCATAGCTCCTTTTAACCTCGACTACATGTTTGTACAAAGCTTAACCAAGTAATTTAATCTTATCAAATCTTACCAAAGTAAGGTGCAGGGTCAGAAAACAGTCATGTAACATGTAATTTATCTGAAAAACATACCACACCTCGTACAGAAACTGAACAATCTTCATGTCATTTAGTTCTGAACGCTTATTGGAGACTTTGCAGTGGGACCAGAAGTACAAAGTCAGTGTCCAATAATATTTTATGCTCTTCTTATCCTCTTCTTTCCATTTGCAGACACACACTACATCATTATTTATGAACAGTTTAATAGACAAGTGGTACAGGCGCATTTTACAAATGAAACAACAAATGTTTTTCAGAAATCACAGAATTCAGGTAATATTTGCAAAAACAGCACACATTGCCTTTTTCTTATGCAATTTGCACAGGAGCAGCCAAAACACATACACTAAGAGACACTATAGTTCTGCTTTTGATGGCAAAAGTTGCAGGATTACAAAATTATTATAATAAAAAACTTTCACTTTTTACTGACTTCACTGCTCTGTTTCTGTATCACCTCCAGGTTTTCTTTAATCTCAGATAGAAAGCACTTTGGGTCAACTTTAGTTGTGCTATAAGTAAGTGTGACCTCACTTGTGTTTTCTGACACTTGCATAAGAAACTTCAGGCGTTTTTCTTTCTGGTGAGAACTCATTCATGCAAATAATGAGAGAAGCTACAGCCATTTTAATGAGGGAATGTCTTTTTCTTTTTTTTTTTTTCTTGCTGGATGAAACACTTGATGTTTACAGTAGATATTCAAAGACAGCGGAACAGGATCTAAACTCTGCTCGAACACATGACCAGCCGTCGCTATTCTTAGGCTCTGCCCTTCACACACATTGACGAAGTGTCCACTGCGCTCCCCACTAATGAGCCCCCCATCAAAAATTGATCTGTGCAATATGTTAACTTGCACCTCTGAGGGTTTACTCGGCTCCCGCTCGCATTAGCCACATCCTCTTCATTGAGTATCTCCATTAGGTCATTCTGACAGATTCACCTGACAAAAAGATTTCACAGATTTCAAAGGCGTCGCTTTAAATACAGCAGACCCCCCCGTTTCATTAACAGCTATCAACCCCCCTCGCTCTGTCCTCCAGCAGCCCTGCCTCCATTCGTCTCTCCGTTTGCCAGCCATCATTCAGCACTTTGTTATACTCGGAGACCATTCGGGGCCAAAGCATCCTCTGTTTTCTTAATTACTTTAACTTGGCATCGCTCTCCTCCTTTAATGAGGCAGTGAATCCACTCCTAAGCATGTAGCAGCGCAGCCCGGTGATGAAGTAGCCGCGAAACATGCTGCCTCGACACTTCATAAGGCTCTCACTTCTACAAGGAATTAGGATGTAAGACGCGGCGTAATTGCACTTAAAGAGGTCAATGCAATCCGATAGGGCCTTTTCCCGGGTCGGATAACGATGTGGGACTAATGTGCCAGCCGTGTGTGCAGTACCTGTACAGCTTAAGAGTCAGCGTCCCGTAGACGGTGGCGAAACCCAGCAGCCGAACCCAACGCAGCAGGATGCAGCGGAAAACGCTCGGCTGGAAATACAGAATGCCGACCTGCAAGAGGACAGAAGAAGCATTTAGGTAACAAAAGGTTATAAAAAAAAAAAAAAAGGATACAAAGGACGGATAAGTAAGAAAACCACCCGACTGTGAGTGTTTTCCATCTAAATGATAATGGGCCCTCCATCTCTGGGAAATTAAATTCAAAGTCGTGGGAAGTTGCTGCCTCTGTGCTCTCAGTGGACAGCTATATAAACAGTGGAGCAATCTTATTTAAACTGCTCTTCTTTAGCATTCCAGCATGTTCACGAGTGGGTTCACGCAGTTTAGTCGTTCAGTCGTTCAGTCATCAGTTACCTGCTCATCGGTTTCCCACGACTTCCTCAAAACCGACCCATAAAGTTGCTCATATACATGTCTCTGACCTTCTTTTGACACATTCTACTCATCACAAGGGATTTAAAACACAGTCAAATTAAACATCAGAGCATATTCTTGACTTTGGGAACAGAATTTTGACTAAAAACTTAACTTTATTTGCAGACTTATTAGCAGCTGATGGAGTTTTCCTCGCTGTAATGGATGTGTTGACATGTAAGATCAGTGTTTGGAGGCTCCAACTGCTGATGAAGACCATGTGATACAGTTGAAAGCTCTGAGCAGGGCTTCTGGTCCCTCATGTGGACTTGTCAGGTTGCTTCGTCCAGCATCAGGACTAATCTTTGGTAGTAAAAGTGAGCAGGAACTCAGCTTATAGTACCAACAACACAAACTGCTACAGGTTTTGTAATGTGCTTGAAGGTGCCAGAAAAAACTAGTAAAACCAGCCGGTGGGTTATAAAGACGTGTTGTCTTGAAAAAAATAACTAAAATCCCACATCTTCCAGAGCCAGAGACTGAGAACAGAAAGAATCATTAGATTTCTACTTTCTGAGGGGCCTTGAGCTCATCAGGTGTAACTGATGTGTAGCTTCAGTTGGAAAATTAACCAAATCTAAACTAAATGTTGTAATTTTTCATCAAAATCACTTTATTCTAGATGTCTTATGTAAAATTATGTGAAAATAAAAATGATGTGCTCCCCAGCATAACTCAGCTGTGACCAATAGTAACAAACATGTAGGGACCTTTCAGCTCAACTTGCTTGAACTGCAGGCTGTGTTTGAATGGATCAGATAGGAGTAAAGTATGGAAACAAATAGAAAATGTAAGTCGTAAAACATCTATATTATGTAGAGCCAACAGGTTTTTCCCGGTGTTGGTAGCACCTGTGGGCTCTCAAGCATATTGAGTCCTTTTTTTTGTTTTAATTTGGTAAAATAAATATTCAAAGAAATTCAACTTTTGTTTCCCCATTTTCATGATGAGGTATTCTAACTTTGTTATGCCGCCGAAAAAACATTTCTGAGATCTCTCTACTTCTACTCATGGTCGTCCTGTTTCCAAAGAGGTGCAGGACTTTATACTGCACAGAAAAATGAGCTCACAGTGAGTAAAAATGTCTCAGAAAGCCCAGAAACTGCCTGAAGTTCTGGTGATTAAACAGTGATTGATTTGCAAAAATTACAATTTAAAATGCTGTGAAAAACTACTTTTTAAATTTTATGTAGCAAGCTCAAGCTAACTTGAAAAATAAATATTAAAAATAAGTCCAACTATCTTGAAATATGTCTGATTTAAGAAGACAGGGCAACAACACAGGTGCTGCAAATCTGCTGCAAGGATGAAAAACTGACACATAACTAAGGTCCTCATCTCTGGTCCCAGTGGGCTGAAATATATTATTGAAAATCTATACCATGATGCACTGTTGTATTTATCTCCACAATGATATAAGCAATGATTATGATTAATAGTGCATTCCTTATTTATCCACATCTTGTATTTTGAGTGTATTTCATTGGGGCAATATGACACAAAATACACAAAAATATAAAGTAGGATTAATTTGATTGATGGCGTTCCTGGGAATACACTCATTACTGATTGAAAAATATCAATACAGCACATTTAAAAATGAACAGTGTTGATGGTGATTTGGTGAATTTGTCCATTCCAGTTAAACAGAATCAGGAACTGACTACCAGATTTAAGAATTCAATCCTGCAGTTCATCACCACAGTGCAGCGAGTCGAGCATAAACTGTCATTTTAACAGTTCAAAGCCTGAACTCCAACTCGCGGCGCCTCGGCTCGGAAAATCTGTCAAAGAAATCTTCTGTTAATAGGCACTGAGTGAGCTACCTTCATAACTGTCTTAAACACGCTGCCAGAGTTCAGGCGGTGCTTTGATATCCTTGCAAGCATACAAGTAAACAAGCCCTTAATGTGCAATCATTACATAATGCAGCAATTAAGCATGAAAAACGCCGACATGTAGCCGCATATGATATCACAGATCCAAGCCTCAATGGGCGAAATTCTAAGAAAGCGCAAAAAGATGGAGGTTTCTATTCATTTGAATGGATTTTTACTAATTTTTGCTCCTACTTTTAAATCATTTACTGTAATTACGTTGAGTGGTGCCACTGATGCTGCTATTAATACGGCTTTGCTGCAAGTATTAAGGTGGTAATGGTGATTTTGTTGGGTCTTATTCAAGAGATTCACCCAAAGATAAAATTCATGAGCTGCATTAGTCATAGCGGTTAAAACAAAATGTGACATTTTCTAACCATCCTTGGCATAACTCATGACAAAAAAGAAAAAATCCATCTGAGCCTGCTAACATCATAGCAAACTTGCCCTTGAGACCCTGAAGAGGGCATCCACCCATGTTCGCTACAAAGACCTAGAAACACAGTGAAACGGTGCCCGTCCCTGCTGCCAAAAAAACACTGATGGTCTTCCAAAGACATAAAAAGAGCGAGAACAAACACACACGCAAAAAAAAAAAAAAAAAAAAA